TGGCCCTTTGGCTAAACCTGATTTCTGTGGAAAAGATACATTCAGTTCTCCCCTCCCACACAGCTCGAGACTTTCTATGTGTGGCTTCCCCCTTTGTTTCTTCTACAAATCTTTTTTGCCACTCCTCACTGTACACATGGACTATCTTTTACAAATTACCTGAACCCAGTGGATGTAAACCAGACGGAATGTAAACTTCAGACACCTACACAGGCACAGCTATATGCCTAATAAGTTAATTATTGACTTAATAAATTCAGGCCCTTAGCAAGGGTTGTTGTTTCAGGCCACAAGCTACTTTACCACGAACACTTAACTTCTCTAATATAAATAGTTTACACCTGGCTATCTTGGCATATGAGCAGATAAAGATGAAGTCCATCCACAAAAGACCAAAAGACCTGCCCTGGGTCACTCTTATCAGGCCTAGAGGCTTTCACTCCCTTGTTAACTTTACTAGATAAATGCCACCTTTTGTCCAAAACTGCAAGCACTTTCATGGATTGCCATCAAGATTTAATGACAGACTTTGTTGCTGTGAAGACATCTCATGACACAAAAATTCCATTGCATCAGCTTGCTAATATCATAAAATTAACTTCAATTTATATCAAAGACCTAAATTCCCAAAATTATTGGTTCTGCTGCACCTTTAGCTCTATGATGAGGATAAATTCTTAGTAAGAAACAAGGGCTGAGATGAAAGGTCTTTGGTGAGCCACAATGTTTCTAGAAGATTTGGGGACTCGGATGCTGCTTTCTCTCCACCACGATTTACAAACAATACAAACCTCTAAATGATCTGCTGATTGTGAGTGAGCTGGGTGCAGCTCTGTGCACCTCAGCATCAGAGACATAATTGGAGCAGAAAGATAGGGAAGAGGAGACACAGCTCTGCCCCTTCACACTGTGCTCCCTCATGGCTTGTGTCATTAATTGTACCGCTTCAAGAAACACACACAGCCTTGGATGAACAGAGGTTTGGGGATTTATCCCATTATTTGGCTTAGGAAGGATAAATACCACCAACACTCAACAGCCAGGATCTGTCTCATTTTCTGCCTGCTCTTCCTGAGAACAGAGGAAACAGCTCCTGAGCTTTGGACTAGACAGAAGCAAAGGAAGGGGCACTGGAAAAGGCTGTGGGAGCCAGCGAGCGCAGGCAGCAGAGGAGGGACTGCCTGGTTTCGGTGTCTGTCTCCGTTATGAGTAAGAGGGCCCCAAGAGGCGGGGTGTGGCAGCCCCTGGCACGGGCAGAGCAGCACAGGAGCCATGGGGTTTCCTGCAGGACGGCTGCAGCGTGAGCCAGCGCAGGAGTTCCTGTGCCGCTGCAGCCGCTGCCAGGGCCCGCTGACTCATGGCGGGGGGAAGGCAAGACTTGGCAACCTGGGCTGTCTCACACAGCAGCAGGTTTTGTTCTCCAAGGGATAACCCAGGGACTGTGTGGCACAAGGCCAAACTCCTGAGTAAAGGACTGCAGCCCTTGTCCCTCTCTGGCCATTCCTAACAGCAAAGGACTGCATCAATTCATCCTCATGACACATCCTCATCCTCCCTGCTCTACAGATGATGGAGGGAGGCTGCACAGAAGTGATGCTGATGGGACCAGGACTGCCCTGCTCCTTTCCCCTGCAGCAGTCAGACCTGGCAGGCCCCAGGAGCTGGGAATATCCTCCTGGGACAGGACGCCACTCCCACGCAGCACAGCGAAACCAGGGCTGTGACTCACAGGGGGAACCACTTCCCTTGGGACAGAGGTAATGGCTCCCATTTCCTGCTCTTTACCTACCCAATTTTTAAGGTTCCCATCCTCACCACAAGCATCACTCAGCTTGCACAACAGCAGCTGGGCTGCTGTAGCTTATAGCCCAGGACTTCAAGGTGTTTCTGGTTTGTACCTTTAAAGCTGGGATGCACCCACATGTGAGGAGAGCCCTGGGAAATGCCACCTTCCTTTTGATAAACTTCTTCAGGATTATCATATATTGCTCTTGGGGCTCACGAGAAAAAGCTCAGGCCCTGTGAGTTTTATTAAGCCCCCATTTTACAAGTGGACAATACACCCATGGTCTGGCTCCTGTGATGTACCAAACACTGGGACCTGTGGCTGGCACTGTGCTCTCTGCAAAGGGGTTGAGTAACCATGTTCAAAGGATAACATGACATTTCACTGCAGTGGGACTGACTGTGAGATTAGAGTCAGGCAGGTGAAAGGGCTCAGTGCTGAAGTATTTTCTGGAAAGCAACCATCTCAGAAAAGGTTTGAAGTATGATACCCCACAAGGAGATAAATTAGGAGATACATTCACCATTTTTACAAAGCATCAGATCATAAGATAACTCATGTTTAAAGGAACCCCAGAAAGACATAGTGCAACCTCCTGCTCAAAGCAGAGTCAGCTAGGAGGGCATACCAGGTCACTCTGGGCTCTGACTGGTCCATTTGCCTTTAGGATGCCTGTTGCAAGCATTGATGAGTTTGGGTTTTGCATTAAAACAGAAGAATTTGCACTTAGTGAAAAAGAAATTATAACAGCCTTTGAAATATCAATGAATATGGTCCACAGGAGTGAATTAACAGCAAAAGACTCCCCAGTACTAATTCCTCTGATTTCCAATCTGCTGTGCTAAAGCAGTGAATAAACTGAGCTCTAGTGGTTGACTCTCTAATTTCTGTAAGTGGCAATGCCATTGCCAGCCTCGAGCACATGGGTTTGTACAGTTTACACAGAAACACCCTTACCAGCAAAGTGTATTTGCTTCCTGGCCAAACACGCTAACAGTAAAATGTTGGCTCTTTATAAACTGCCTCCAGAGTCCATCCCTGGAAGCAATAAGCTATTGGTTAAAGATTCCTTAGATTCTTAGTGACGTTTTCTGATAATGGTCCCATTTATAAACACAGATTACAGTTCCTACACAGGGTTTTAACAGCACTGGCTTGTTCTAAAGTGTGCTTTACCCTGGGTTATCAGAACAGTAGCTGAATTCCTCCTATGCAAAAGGGCAAATTCAGATACCTTTAGTCACCTTTTTCCACCACGAGTCTCACTGAATTAACTGAAGATTGATGTCTTGACAATGAACAAAGGGTTGAACCTGCACATAGGGCTAACACGAGGGTAACCATTATACTGTGGGACTTCAGACCACCTCTGTGGTGGAAAGGGCCCCAAGCTTTCTAAATTTCACCTTCAAATCACAACTTTTCACTGTTTTATCAATGTGGTTGAAGCAGTGAAACCTTCTGAGGCAGATACGTTTATATTTTCTGAATTCTACAGTTTAACTTAATTCATATACTGGAAGAAGACTGTCCTTGATTTCACTATAAGTGCATTCAGCCAAAGGATTGCAGATGGAATAATCTATAAAAAATACCAACATCACTAAAGGTGCTCTGCCTTAATGACAGAGTGTGGAAGACAGGCAACATTTTCCACTTTAAAAGCTACATGAGGGCACTTGTTGAATTCAGAATAGATAGTGTGCTTCTGGCAGTCCTCCCACTGTCATTTCATGTGTTTGTCTTCCCAAACCACACATCTCCCAAAGCTCTGGGTCACAAAACATGACACAGGGTGTATGCTGGGACCAACAGCCAAACAGAAATGCCAAGGGGAAGAACTTTATTGAGTGGTATTTCCTACATTCCAACACAACCTTTTCTGGCTACCCACTGCCTTGTTTGGCAGAGGCAGGACCATCCCTTTGCCATGATTTCCTTAAACTTTTCTTTGCAATGTTTAGTGTCCTAAGCCTACAGCTGTAAATGGTCCTCCTAAATTATCAAATTCCATAGGTGTGTGTCACCTCCTGCCTCGTGGTACCAGAGTGTCTATCACCCTCTTCCTTATTGCCTGATCAACGATCCCCTCTAATCGCCCTCTTCCTTATTGTCTAAATATTTCCTTTACTACCATTCACACATGGGAGTAACTTGTTTCAATGTTTTACATGACAGATATTTCAGAAACCAGCAGTATAAAACAACATCAGCAACCCAGACCAGATCTCAGCCAACAATGTGCATTAAATGAGCCTGTGGCAATCTCCTTTTTCTTTTCTTTTTTAATCTATACCATCAGTACTCTTAACCCCACCTACTAAATCCACAGCACACACCTAGCAGTGGTACAAAAGGAGCTAGAAAACTTGTTATAAACTCAGAAAAACAGATGGGGATGGTGTTCCAGATTCATAAAGAGCAGCATTTCATCCCTGCAACTGCAGAATCCAGTTTTATAATAATTGTTTGTGCTGCTGACTTCCTTCAACACCTGTGACCCTGCTTGTCGTGGCCTCATTGCCTGCTGGGAACTTGGCAAAAGACAAGAGAAGAGATATTAGGGAACCAATGCTACATCCTGAGAGAGGCCATAAAGTCCAAAGGTTGAGCAGGATTGCCAGGAGCAGCCTGATAAAGGAAGGAAGCATGTGGCTCTGAGCAGACAAACTGCTGCACCCGAGTACAACATGTTCAGAGCTGGAGCTGCATCCCAATGTCTCCCACACTCCACAGAGCACAAACTATCCAGGGACTCCTCCCAAACAGCCCCCTCGAAAATAAATTATTTTAAGTTCCTATCTGAAACGAGCATGTAACTGCTCAGTGCCAGAATTTCACAGATCTTAAATTTCAAAAAACACTCCTCTTTGTTATTTCAAATTAAGGCAGGATGATTTGTTGATTTAATAAAAGAAAAAAACATTGTACAATACCCCTTCTGAATTAGCATATTCAAGCCTTTCCAAAATCCAGCTCCAGTAAAGAACTTGTCTTTAAAAATCTATCAGACCCTAACTAAGCTTGTCACATGTGAAATAAATAAGCCAATAATCAGATCCTTCAGAAAATTTCAATTAAACCTCTAAAACTGTCTCATAAAATACCCAGCATCTGAAGAGTTTTTATTCAGAAGGAGAGCACAGCACCTAAATGTTTCACATTAGGAAGAGCATGGGGCATTAATAACTTTTCCCCCCTCTTTCCTACTCACCACTCGCTCAGTTACACGAGCACAGTGTTTTGTGATGCCACTCTGTGAATCTGAGCAGAAAACCCTTTCCTGGCTTTCAGCACGAATGAAACCAAGAGCCCAGCATGGCCCCACAAAGGACTGAGCAAGCACAAGCAAAGAGCAGGACTGGCAGCCAGGGGAGGGAGGAAAAAGGACACGGGTTGCTTGGAGCTCATATTGCTGCTGAGCACTTTCTATTATAGAACCATAACCTAATATGCTTTCAAGACTCTGACTCTGAGCTGCTTCCCACCGTGCGTCTCCTTCCCTGCGCGGATCCTACAGGGATCTACCCCGTTCCCGGAGCACGCCGGCGCGTCGGACACCGCTCTCTGTTATATTTTCATTAATCACTCAACAAGAGGAAGGAGAAGCCCAGCAGTGCCCCTAAACACAACATCTGCCTTGGGAAGCACCAGCACAGTCCATAAGCACGGCTCGCTGTGAGCGCAATGCCTGGCTCGGCAGTGCTGTCCTCCCTGGGGAGCTCAGCTGTGGGAAGCAGGAGCAAGGAACTGCCTTTTTAGGACTGTGGCTGAGCGGGCTGGGAAGAGCTGGGGCAGGATCAGGGCTCCCGCAGCAGTTCCCTGGCCTTATAAGGACAAAGCCAGGTATTTCCCCAGGCAGCACATCCAGGTAAGGCCCAGCAGGGCTTCCCGGGGTCTCCTGCTGCCCGGGGAGACCCTTGGCCACTGCCATACCTGCACGGTGCAGACCCACGGCCCTGCTGTCCCCAGCCTCAGAGCTCATTTCAAATAGGCCTTATTAGGAAACAGGGAAGCTTAATTAACTAATTGAAAGATCGTTGTGAGATCTGCAAAGCCAGATGGTTTGTGGGTGAACCGTTCTTGATATTAATGTGACATTTTAAGGCATTCACAGCAACATTTTGGAGCGCAAGTCTCTAATGTCAGACATCTTTTTAGCTACCTACGTAAGAGGGAGGGTTTCCAGAGGTGAGGAGCAACTGGATTCTCCAAGGGCTTTGACACCCAAAGCCTCAGACACTCAGCAATTGGTTTAAGCAATCTTTAGGAACACACACAATTAAGACTCCTCCCCAGCTGCCTAAAAATTAAGGCCGATTGACAGAAAAGCCAAAAGGTTTTTGTTTCATTCCATTTAAGTGAGATTTCTTGTTATTACCTGTTTTGTTTTTCCAGGGAGTGAAACAAACTAAAGCACTTCAGGACAAATCCATCTATATAGGACGTACATATAAACAACCCTGACCATGAACTCTCCCATATTTTTGCTCTTTTCACTTCCCTGACTCCAATTTTTATAAGTAAAAAGAAGAGGCTGTGATTAAAATAGAAAAAAAAAGTATCCCCTTTCCCTCAGCAATACCCATTTTAAAATTTGATTTTTGAATCTTTATCAGAAGAATGGCCACAAAAATGGAGTATCCTTGAGTATTTTTCCTTTGGGGAAATAAAAAAAAAAAAAAGAAATTTCCCTTTAGATATGGTTAAAGTAATTTGCAGTGCAAAGTTATAATGAGACACTACCCACCCAGGATTAATCCAGCTTCTCAGTTGTGATTAAGAAATGGCACATTGAAATTCAAAGAATTACCAACATATTTTGCCATCTTAAGATTTTTGAGGTTAAACTTTGATAACTGCCTGCCTGAAGATACTGAAAAGTGTGGGTTTAGCTGAAAGCAGCTACTTCAAACTTAAAGAGATGAGAGGAGCTTGACAGTTTTGATCTCTACAACGTTTTAAATCCACAGAGAAGTGTCTGGTCTGCATCCCAAAGTACTGCACCACTTGTACCTTCAGGTAACAACCACAGCAGGAAGACCAAAACCTGGATTCCTCTTGCCACATCCCACTTGCAACATTCTGTCAAGAAAACATGGGGGAAGTACTAATTCCCCCTGGGTAATCACAAGGCATCCATTTCTAGGATTCCTTGTGAGAGGCCCATCAGCAGAAACGAGGTCACGGACAACAGGAAAAATTACCCAAATTAAATACATTAAATATGTGACAAACTTAGTCTGAGCTCAGACTTTTGTAGGACTTTCTCCAGTTGTTGACTGGGCTGGGATTACATTTCTATAGCTCCAAAGGATCACCAGGGCAAGGCTACTTTCATAAAAGGAATAAAAGTTTTGACACCAGGTTTCATATTGTAAATTTCTCCTTTAAAATAACCTGCTTGCCAAAGCAGTTCAGCTGCCAGAAGGGGAGAGAGGCTGGGAAACTTTATTCCCTTTTAAAAGCAATGAGTGGACTGTGCTGCTCAGGTACACCAGGCACCGCTCCAGAACCAGGGAGCAATGGCTCATTAGGAGCAATTAAAAAAAGAATTCTGAGGGGACTTTAAAAACAACAACTTCCCAAAACAAAACATGCATATGTACCACATGCATTTGTTTATGCAGCTGTAATGAGTGATGAAATCCATTTATGAGCTGAAGTCACAAGATTCTAAGCAGGTCTTTGTTTAATCTCAGTAAGTCATGACATTTCCCTACTACTTATAATAATGTGATTTGGATCAACATTTTCAAACTCATGCACCTGTTTTTTAACACTGCTCACCAACTGCACTTCTCTGCAGAGAGCACAGGCTGTTCTGGAGGCCCCACTTTGATCAAGCACCCTAAAAACAGATACAGAAACCTGGGTTTAGTTGAATAAATGCCTGCAGTTCTTGAATTCAGCACATCTTCTGCAGTTCTTACTCAGACTGAGACTCTGGGCAACCTACAAAGAGCGTAAATAAAAATCAATGAGACCATTAGTGGGATGAATACTTACAGCATCAGCCCTTCTATAACCACAAAGTCTGCCCAGATGGATGCCCTTAAAAGACTTTCAGAAGGTTTGCTCCAGACAATGGCTCTCGTTCCAGCACGTTGCTGTGACTTGGGAGAATAAAATGAAGATAAATGCAGCTGTTTCTGCTTACATTAATGCAGCATTAGTGCCCTCAGTAACAAAGGTAGGACAGAGTATGCAGGAAAATAAAAGATTCAGCACAAATAACTATTAAGTTACATGTTTGGTGTATTTATAAACAGTGCTAGGCTTTAGATGTATTATTATATAGCTTTAACATCAGTAATTCTGCATATAAATCAAGACCATGTTTTTAGCTTTGATATTAAGAAGAAGAAAAAGGGCAAGACCAAAGACATTTGGCACTGCTGTTTTGTCATTATGCTGCTATTAGCTTTGCAAACAGCTCTGATGTTTTTGAGGACCAGATCAAAACTAAATGAATACAGATCCACTGGTAATACAAACAGAGTGATTTTGTATTAGTTCTTTCAAGAAGGGAAAAAAGGGTGGACTCCTGGGCTGAACAAAAAGTCAGTGTAGCCAATGGACCAGGACAGGGCATCCCAGACAGAGAAAAGTTCTCTGGGCCAGTGAGGTGTGGGGGAAAGAGTTGCTCCAATACCTTTCTCTCCTTCTGTCTCTGCAGAGTCCCAAAGGAGCCAGGAGAACAGGTGGATTTTCCAGGGTGTCAGCAAACCAAGATGGCAGGAGGATATAAGGACAATGCAAGGATCTTTCACCTGGAATGTTTTGTTCCAAGAAGCCCCATTTTTTATGTGCAAAGGCATAAAGTACAAGACAATTTGTCCAGCAGCTTGGACCCAAATTTAGGAAGGCTCTACCAAGGCCAAAGTCAAATATGCATAACCAGCAATGTCTGTGCATCACCCAACTGGCACCAACACAGTGTGTTCCTATTCCTTGCATTTTTTACCATTATTTTGGTTGATATAGGAAAAGAATATGCACTATTGCCTCAGAAATTTATATATGCTAGCTATATTAATGGGAAAACAAACTCAAATGCTATCTTCCTGCCTAATTCTAAGTCTATAAGGATTATATTTTTATTTCCCTTTTTCCAAAACCCTTTTCGGTTATTTTCCTTTTGTTTTTGGGATCTACTGTATCAGAATGTCCAAAAGAAAATGGCTGGAACTACTGAAGTCAGTGTTACAACTGAAAAACACATATCAGTAAAACCCATTCTTTAATATGTGAGCCCACATTAACTAAACCCAGCCGAAAAGTTCTGAGAAGTTAAATTAAAATAAATAACTGGGAGAGTTAAGTAAACAGTTCCCTTACTGGATTTGCTATAACTGACTAAAACTTTTCTTCCTCTTTCCACATTAAAGGAGAGCCCTAAAACCACATTTTGCATATTTTATTACTTCAAATCTTTTCTAACCTGGTTCCCAGGTCAGACCAAGTCTAAAAAAACTTTAAAAAGTGAATCTAACATTATTCTAAAATAACAGAATCCAGTGGAGCGTGAACAACAGGACTATCAATAAATGTCTACTCTTATTCCCAGACCCAGAGTGGAATTTAAACAATTTATAGCCTCTAAGATTCACAATTTATTGAACTGAACTGGCAAACCAGCTTTAGCAATCAATGTTACCCATCTGATGCCTCTGAGTGTTTTCACCAGAGAGAGGAACTGCACGTTTGGAGAAAGAAAACATTTCTGTGATTGTTTTAAAAATCACAGTTGAAAGTTTCTTGAAAGGTCAGAAAGCAAGCTCTCCTGGTAGACAGAGATTAGCAGCAGAGGGTAGGCAAGGTGCTCAGGGTGTATGGGAAGGGTAATCCATCAGATTGATAGCACCACTATGTATATGGTACAATTATATCTTATCTCCCCAGCCCTGCAACCAAAATAAACCCCATGGAAGCCTTGGAGTCTGCTTCTGTTGTCTTTAAGTACACACCCCTTAGGGTGGCGACCCAGGACACACCACACGCCTTTTACCTCATGTAAGACAAAAGCAAAACAAATATAATCAGTATTTTTCCTCTTAGGACTCTCACTGAGCCTCTTTGATGTGTTTTCCCTAATCGTTTTCTCTTTTTAATCATCACACTCAGGGGTTTCTCTGAGCTTATTATGGTTTAGGTTTTATGTAACCTCTTCCAGGCGGGCGCCTTCCCAAGCTCCCAACACAGCAACTGCTGTAACAGTACACAGCAACTCTACACCGAGGAATACCTTGGCCAAATGAAACCAAAAGGGAAATTTAGATGAGTACATTCTGCTTAGGTTGGAATTTTGGCTCAG